GAGACATGCAGATTTGTGTTTGCATCTGACATACTGTGCTTATACATCCTACCTATTTATGAAATATCATATACATACATACATACATACATACATACATACATACATACACATACACACACACATACATGCATGCATGCATGCATGCATGCATGCATGCATACATACATACATACATACATACATACGCAGACATCAATCTTACACCCACATATGCTACGTGAATATGTGATTGAATTTAGGGTTATATACATTTTGTATATACGTAACACACACACACAGATATAGATAAATGGATGCATGCAAGTATGCATGTTTGCATGCATGCATGCACGCATGCATGCACGCGTGCATGTATGTATGTATGTATGTATGTATGTATGTATGTATGTCTTACACCATTATATGTTGCCTATTACCTCCTCGAAGACCTGCTATCTACTATCGACCATCTAATGTCCACGATCTGTTAAACTAGTATGTGTCCTGTATCAACTAGTAACTTGGATCCCTTATCTATCATCTAGAACTAGTAGGCCGTGTGTGTTCGGGTTACGAACCCTTATTGCAAACATGCTTCGAGCCATGCCCTCACCCTCGAGGGGGACGCTTTTGGAGTCCTACAGGTCTGCTGGATGTTTAGGCTTGTTCAGTCCTCCTTTGCTCGTTTGTACATGCCCAGGCACAGTGAAACGTTGCATTGCTGTGGTTCTGTTCTCGTCGATGCGCCTTTGTTGCTGACCTTGTGTAGCCTGGCTGTAGTCCTAGTTGATTGTGTCCTTTAGAGCGCTTTCCCTAATGCGGTCAGACCTGATTATAAATTTGGGCCGCGGTGAAGGCTCGGGGAATATCCCCGCGATTATGGACAACTTGTCGTTGAGGGTCCCTTCATCATACTTAGGTGTCTTGTGTTCCGATTTCGATTGGCCAATTTCTCGCCAAGTTGCTGTGGGCTGCTTAAGGCTTTTTTCTGCGATCACTGCCTTCGCTGGTGTGCGGACATCTTGGCTCCCGCAACTGTCGGGGGCGCACTTGCGCTCGATGTAGGGGGTTCCCCTCTGCATCATAGCCCTGGCGATAGAAAGAAAGCGTGAGAGAGAGAGGGGGGGTGCTGCGGTAGGATTCCTTTACGGCCTGCAGCAAGCAAGTAAGTAGAAAGAGAGAGAGAGCGAAAGACAGCGAGAGAGTGAGCGAGAATATCCCACTTTGCATACTTGGCAAGGGGGAAATCCGCTCAGCGCAATCAGGTTGGTGGCATTTGCTCTCAAATGTCATGTTTGTCAGGTAGGCAACAACTCCGCGTCCTGAGTGCCAGAGTTCCTGCTTTGAGGGCTGAGGACGTCTGATATGCATGGCATGCATGTGTGGTGTCTCCTTTTTTGGAAGTCCGGTTTTCCTTCGAAGCCGTGACACCCACAACAAGTGGGGGGTGCACCTGCGCAGGGTCAGGGGTCGCGTCCCAGCCCTTAGCCCTTGCGAAATCAAGAAAGACAGAGCGATGCTTGTCGTATGTATGTGTACACATCTCTCTCTCTCTCTCTCTCTCTCTCTCTCTCTATATATATATATATACATGTACATACGCATATGTACGGGGTCCTCTTAGCATCAGGTCTGCGACTTCGGGATTGCGAAGATGGCGGAGCGCTCTGACGGCAGCGTTGTCCGATCCGCGCGGGTGATCCAAAGTCGACCCTGGCCGCCATCCTGGCCGCGCTCCACCTCCTTCAAAGGGTCCGGGAGCATAGTCAAAGACGCTGCTGCACAGGATTGTACCGCGAGTATTTTTTGGGAGGTCAGATTTCTATCTTGCGCCTGAAATGCTGCGACAGGAAGAGTAGCCTGGCTCAACAAGAGATGCGAAGAGCAGTCCTTAAAGCGAAGCCGGGGGGACAGTTTTGTGCCTCTGTCGCAGGTACGGCCCGGAAATCGACCTTTGGTCTTTGGGCGTGACGACCTTCTCGCTGCCTTGAGCTCAGCCCGAGATCAGCCCTGCGGCCTCCCCTTGTCTCCAAGCGGGGGCAGCGGGAGGCCGCTGCCTGCGCGTCAGGATCAGCGGCTCTCTGCCCTTCGTCGGAGAAGGAGGCGCGGAGGACTTACGAGGCGGGAGTCTTTTCCAGTTTTTTGGAGGCTTCCCGGATCCTGCTTTGGGCTGGCAGGAACCTACAGCAAAATCGTCAACCGAGACATCAACTTCGACGGCCAGGCCATGGCCCCAGACGGCGGCTGGCCCCACGGTCCACGCGCGCGCGCGGGGTCCCGCCGAGGCTTGGGAAGAGGCTCCGGCCACGGCTCTGCGCTGAGCTTGCAGCGATCCTTCTTAAGAAACCACAAGACACATGGAATATCTCTCTATAGGCCCTAATTAGAGGGCCTTCATAAGGCTAAGGCCCCAGAATTCGGCCATTTGGGCTTCATCTGCGCGCACCTTCCTTGCTGCCGCGTGATCGTGAGGGGTCACACTGGTCTCGATCTGTCGCGTGTTGTTGTTGTTGTTGATGAGGAGGAGAAGCAGGGGAGGACAATCCTCGTCACCATCATCCTTGTCATGGACAAAACTTACAGAGGCGTCATCACCATCTTTTTCATCGTTATCCCCCCTCCCCCCACCGCCGTGCTCATCGCCCCCAAACCGCCGTCACGGTCCTTGTTGTACTCCTCGCCTTCATCATACTCGTAGTCTTAGAAGACATCGACGGAATGATTTTGGAATGCAAACAGACCGACTCTTGCAGACGCCTGGGTGTCGCTTGCAAGCAGAAGCAGCCAGCATCCCGGCATCCCCGGGCCCATGGCGCTGGCCGGCCTTCGCACGCTCCTCCGCACTCTAGCCCGAGGGGTGTGAGAAGATCTGGAGCTTCTCCTCCAGCACAGGGGGTTTGGAGTTCCCCCAAAGATGCATGGACCCAAACCGCTTCCTGAACTTACTCTCGCAGGTCTTGGCATTATAAAGCATTCGAGCCATGCTATCTTAAGCACTGAGACACCCGAAGCCAAGCCCCCGAGAAAACGGATTCCTCCGGAAAACTAAAGTGGTGCAAGCATGCGTGCACACAGGGTGTAGGTTCTCACTCCTCAGAAGCTCTGGAAGGGAGCTGACGTCGAAGTCAAGCATGAGTTGGTTTCCTGCATGGCTTTGAGAGTGACGGGGCTGGGGAGAAGAAGAAGAAGAAGCAACATCGGGGCTGCACTCACTGCACTCCTTTGCTTGACATGACGGTGAGAGTGTGTGTCTTTAAAAGCGGCGAGTCGAGGCAGCGGACTTCATCCTCCAGCTGCTCAGCTTGGATCCCGCCCAGCGCCCCAGCGCTGCGCAGGCCGGCCCTCCAAGCTTGTGCTAAGCAGGAAGGAAGGGATTCCAAGCGCCCGAGAGCCCGAAGCAAGTGGGCCCACAGGGCTGCCGGGCTCGAGGAGGCTCGATTACGAGCGTTTGGGTTCGCGAGCGCCAGGCGCTGTCCCACGGCTTTGTGAAGTCGGCGCTGGAGTCGTTCGTCGACAGTGACGAGGACGAGGAGGAGGAAGAGGAGGAAGACGAGTCGGATCTCCAGCTGGACGAATTAGAGTCAGAAGGGGGATTGCAACCTGGCTGCCTGCCAGCGATGAAACCATGGGCATCATTGCTTTTTTTGCGTGTTGCTCTTGTTGCACCATCCTGAAGCCCACCCTTGCCGCCATGCTTGATTCGGGTATCCACTCTTTTCGGAGCCTTTGGCACGAGCTTCGAAGTTTTTGGAGGCAGCGCAACAGCACATCATGTCAGTCATGGGGAGGCTTCAGAGGACCAGCATAGATCCTTGGTCGAAACCTTCGGAGCTCCACCGCAACTGTGGTAGTCACTCCCTCACTGAATCTCAGAGCCCCCTCCCCCCCTCCTCCACTCGTTAGTCCGCTCAGCAACGATGGCCTGGCAGCGATGTCGCAGCGCCGCGCCGTCTATGCTGCCAAATTCCTCAGGCGACGAAGCCTGGCATCGTGCCGAACAACCTTGCAGACAAATAGAGAGGTCGAATGGCGAGGGCTTTTGGGGATTTCTCCTCTTCCCTGCCCGGGTAAAGTCTTGAGAGATCCCCCTTGGAGAGGCCGCCGAGCTGGACGAAGCGGCTGCTGCTCCGGGAAAAGCCCCGGGTGCTGACAGGAGCTGGGACAGTCCTTCCATGTGGGAGCCGGATGTGTTTGGGGCAAAAGACGGGGCTCGCCTGGTAGCTGCGAAGGGCCTTTCGAAAATCCTGTGCGCCGCTGGGTCCGGCTGCGTGAGAAGGCCTCTGGCCTCAGCAAGTCGTCGCACGCACTTTTGGGGCTCATATGCCCGGCGAGGGCCTTCCGCCAGCGATAGCCCTTGCCCAGGCGCGGCAGTTTGCGGAGCTCCCGCCGCCACGGCGAATCCCCGTGCCAAAGCCCGCACGGCCGAAGCTGCTCCAGGCGCCGAGAGCCTCGGGCAAATGCCAGAGATCTTTTTCCCCTCTTGCGGCCTTCCAGGCTGTGGAGGGAGTGCCGCGGGTGAACCCAGAGGACAGCTTCGGGCCGTCTTGTTCGAATCAAGAAAAATCTGCAATCCTCGAAAAGCTCAGAGGCGCTCCAACGTCGCCTGGATTTCCTCCTCTCTGATGCTGCTGTGTCCACCTTACCACGTCACTTCTCTCCTCCCTTTCTCTCTCTCTCTCTCTCTCTCTCTCTCTCTCTTTAAATCTCTCCGGTGTGCTCCTCCGAGAAGCTGAGGTCAAGCAGCAGCTGGCTGCACCCCTTCGGCCTGGTTTGAGTCCATACTTCGTGGAGTTCCAGTGCTGGAGCAGGTGGGTCAAAAAGCCGGCTCTGGGGCCGGGGCCCCCCAAAAAGGAAGACTTTACTTTTGGGTTTTTCATGAGTTTAACAAGGCATCTCGAAAGGCACGGTGGCAGGGCAGGCCGCTTTTTTTTGCCTTGGAGGCAGCTGCGTGAGATTCGGCGCGTCTACCGCGCGCAGTATCTCCAGAAGCTGGCTGAGGCGGCCGTTGCCACGCGGTGTCATGCATGCCCTGCACACAGCCTGCCAAGTTCCAGGTCGTGTCACCTGCCATTGCATTAAACAGAGCATGTGCTTGCTCCGGCTACTACATGTTTGAAGCCACATCTCGACGCCCGTATTAGCGGAGTTTACAGGATTGCACGGACAGGTCACGGAAGTGGAGAGGGCGCGGGAGGCCGGGCGCTTAAGGGAGGATCCGGGTGCTGCGGCCTGGGGCTGTCTCGGTCCGCACGGTTTGGGAAGAGGAGGCTTCAAGGACGTCCGTGGCGTCCGTGTCTTTTTTGACCTTGTGTCACCTTGGTGTTCGTGGCCAGGCGGAACTGTACCAGAAAGAGCGGCAGCAGCGACAGGAGAGGAAGCAGGCGCCATGCGCATGGCAAAGGAAAGTGTTTATTATGTTATATTCGTTGTATTACATTTTAGACTCTATTAATAAAAAAGCGAAGCCTTGTCGACTTTTGTGCGGTGAGGCGAACATGCAGCGCATCGGCGAGGCTGGAGCTGAGGTGTTTCAGTTCGTCTTGGATTGCGAGAGTTGCCGTATCACTCTTCTCTTACTTCTCAATACATCTCATGAAAAATTATATAAGGCTTCTTATCATAATTTGTAATCTTTTGCAGTGTTACCAGTCTTTATCTGAAGGGAGGTGACGGGTGGGGCCTTCCAAGTGCCAGGATATGAAGCGCCGGGCAATCCTGCGAGACCGGAAACGCATTGAGTCCAAGGTCAACGAGGCCTCTTGGGTAGGACGGCGTACGACAGTGTAGGAGGTTTAGGGTACCGCCGGCTCCTTGGTGTTTTACCTCATCTCGCCGAACTCAGCTCAAGTGGTGCAAAGTTGCCCAAGACTTCCTAGCTAATGAGCCTCCTGAGCCATGGTGTATGGCCTGATGATCCATTCCGCCCCTGCCCTCAGCTGGCGCCCAGCGCTTTGTGGTGCTTTGGAAGCATTCATCCCAAGGTGGATTCCAGTCAGACGCTACACTTTTCCATCTTCTACACGCCCGAGGAGACATGCACCACATCACTATATTATGGTTCGGCGTGCCGGGCTGTGCAGGGCAACAATACCTACAAGAAGACCCGGCAGCAGACGATCATGCGACGAATCTTGGAGGACCCGACAACAGAGAGGGACTCTCCCCACCGCCTTGCGTGCCCTCTGAGCGGGTGAGGAGCATCTTTTTCAGACGCACTCCGGTGACCAGCACACGGTGGTGAAGTCCAAGGCGCCTCTGCACTGACACAACTTCAACGGCACGAAGCGACCCGAAGAGCAAGAGAGACACAGCCCGAGAGAGAGTCAGAGGTCTCGTCGCTGGACGATGCGGACTGGCCCGGGCCTACAAGAGAGAGCACTCAGAGCGCTGTGTCAGCGCTGTGGAGACCAGAGACTCCTATAGTCCGTTAATCGCCCTGCGCCCATGCTCGCGCCTGTCGAGGCTCTTCCGCTTCTCCTCAGACACGAAGCCCGCCGGCAGCCCAAGCAATGCAAGTATGCAAGTTAGCTGGTGAAGTGGGCCCCGCCGAAGCGCTCGTCTTAGGCGGCTTACAAGGCGCAAGCCGGCTTCGACTACACCGAGGGCATCCTGCGGCTGCAGGAGCACAGATACCCCGTAATTATAGGAGAAGGCTGCATAAAGGCGGAATCTGGTTTGCTTCGGGTTTTTCATGGCAGGCCTCAAGCCTCTTCGAGTACCCAAAGCTGGTGGTCTGGAAACACGTGGACAAGGCACCGAAGGACTCGCAGGTGGCCGCACAGCTGACTGCTTCTGCGAGGTGGTTTACACCCTGATCTGCGAGCCCTTGGATAATCCATTGCTGGCATCCAGCTTCCTAACGCTCTTCGTGCACGAGGTGGGCCGCGGCCGATTCAGAAACGGCATGTCTCAGAGTCTGGAAACCTGGCAGTTGAGCGACCACTTCCGCAAGGCTCAGAAGAAGGGGGCCGGTTATTTGGGGAGCCCTTAAGGGGGCACGAAAGCGGGTTCGCTATTTTTGCCCGATCAGGCTGGGAGCCTGGTGGATGAAGTCTCTGCTCGTCCCGACGAGGTCTTGGCCATCTTAGCTCCCTAGCGGCCCTAGCTCTCTTCACAAGCTCCGCTCTCCCCTGGCCCCTCCTCCGCTCCCTTCTCTCCCCTTCTCTCCCTTCCGGACAGTGGCTGAGAACTTCATGCTTCCCGGCGGCCAACTGCTCTTCGTCAACTCCAACCTTCATCGCTTCAACAAGTCGCAGATCTCGCAGGCCGGGGATCTTCTTCAAGGGGCCTCCGTGAGGCTGATTCTTATCACTTCATAGATATCGCTGCATCATCGCACAGGTGCTGAGCCAAAAGGCTTGAGCCAAGACGGGCCGACACTCGCACTCGCACCCGTCGCACCCACAAGCGGTTGCGATGCGCCGAAATGTGGGGCTTCTCCTTAAGCCGCTGGGCGCCTTTTGGGTTTTTGTTTTGCTTCGCAGAGTCGTGGCTTATGTGGCGCAGGCCATCGAGATGGCCCGGCGCTCCAAGCTGAAGCGCCAGCGTCTCTTCTGGTTTCGCCGCATGGAGACCTTGTCGAGGCCCCCGAAGACGATGGGGTTGAAATACGGGGAGAGGGGAGAAGAGATGGGCGACAGTGACAGTTAAAAGGCTGGTGGTGTCCTCGGAGAACTTGGAAGAGGCTTTCGCGGCTTTCCCAGACTCACAGGCCCTGCCCTTGAAGGGCCCTTATCCCAAGCCGGAGGTCGCTCTCCGGAGAAATGGGCGCTAGAGTAGCCGCTACAGGCTTCCTCGTCCTCGGGCACTACCACGAGCAGCCCCTCGTGCTGAGCCCGGAGGGCGCTTTCAAAGACTTCTGGACTTCTTTTACCTTGTCTTAACGCCTTTGTGTGTTCTTTCGGCCTCAGGGGGGTGCTCCTGAGCCGGAACGTCTCCATTCCCTACTTGCTGCGCCAGTTCGGCGGCTCGAAGGTCGGAGCTTCGGAGCTGAGAAAAAAGGGGCCCCCTAATTAAGGATCCGCTAGGCCAAAGACTCTTGTCTGGACTGCCGACAGGCTGACCCGCAGCAGAAGAACCGTCGAATTCCAGGCATCGACAACGTCAAGCGCGAGGCGAGAGTTCCTCTGCCTTAGGTGCCGTCCTCCTGTGTCTTCTCGGTGGGTGGGGGGACACGCGCTTTCTTGTCCCCTTCGGGCAGATCCTGCAGATGTCCTATGACATCCTCGGCGAGGCTCTGCAAGAAGACCAAACAACACACCTCTTCTTCCCCTAAACCCTAGACCCGAAACCCACAGAATCCTGATTGTCTTTAAATGTGCAGGACGAGGAGCGCTACGAGGCCGAGGTCCCGCAAGAGGCCGATTGGAGAAGCCGTGCCCAGCAGCGACCGCCTCGGTGGCAGAGAGACGACCGTTTCTCTGAAAGAGAGACTGTGGAGCGCTCCCTCTCTTATCTCCCTCAGACTCTCTCTGTCTCTCTTCTCTCTCCCCCTCTCTCAGACTCTCTCCCTCTCTCTCTCTCTCTCTCTTGCTGAGCAGATGAGGCTCTATGGCGATGGCATCTTCAATCACGAGCAGAAGATGGCTCTCCTCGACCAGAAGATTGCCATGCTGAAGGGGCTCGGGTCGCGGTTGCCCTGAGAGGGGGCAGCTCTTGAAGCCTCGCTTTGCCCACATCTCAGGGCGCAGAAGTTCGAGGAGCAGAAGGGCCGAGCGGACCTGATCACCACGAAGCTGCCAAGCGGCACTGCAGGGTGGGGGGGGGGGGGGGGNNAAGAAAGTGCTTAAAATATGGGGGCTCCCTGAGGCTCATTGACGAGCTGGAAGCGGTGAGGGAAGCGGAGCTCGAAAAATCACAGCAGGAAGAACTGAAGGCCGCCGCCAAGGAGGCTCTGACCTGATACTTTATACCTGACCCTGTCACTTGGAGGCAAAGCAAC